GTATTTCAGCTTTTACTTAATATCGACTTCCATTCTTTAATGTTCACTTGTGTGTTCCTTTCTAAAGTTATTCTTTAGATTACACATAACATTTTTAGGACATAATCATCGGTATTTGATGATAGCTTTTATGAATTCATCTGCTGAACGTCTATACGATTGTTGCAGCAAGCAGACCTCGAAAGTGATTCATCTATTGAGAGGAAATCTTCTTTTCTGTTAGGTCACTTTTTCATGAAATTCCATTTCATGTATGTCACCTTTCATCCAAATAAACTAACATGTTTTAAAATACCGATATAAAAGTGATTATAATTCGCTTTCTTATAAGGTATAATAATAATAATAACTTTTCCTTCACGTTCCCAGTGGAACATAGGGCTTCGAGCTAGTAGCTTGAAGTTTCTGTAGCAGAGTTTATTTTACAGGATGGGGTTGCTAGCCTCATGCCCAACCTTTGCTCTTTACCAGAATTATTTCTGGCTTAGAGAGGTAAAGGTGTGCGTCGGCCGGGGATCGAACCCCGGACCATATGCATGGTATATTTGCACTAAATATAATGTCTATTATCATACGTAAACGTCTGTCAACTAGAAAATGTGTCCCTCAGAATATATTTCAGTCTAAATATACAAGTCTACCATAATTTAATACAGAGTTTCATGTTACTGAACCGTGGTATATTCTCCTTCATTCTTCTTTCATGACTCAGATGGAAGGTGTACATATATGAATCAATAGATAATAGCCAAAGAAGCTTTCAGAATATCGGTTCTTGTCAGTCTTCATTGGTGAGTCTTGAATTATGATTATGAAGCCAAGTGGAATGGAAATGTGGAATATTACCTTGATAGTTGCTTTTCTCTGAATGATGTGTCTCAGTGTTGTGTGTGATGCAGCCAAGCTGCCACGCCTTATACTATATTGATGTATTTTTGTGGTATTGTGACAAGTTTGATCATATCATGGAGCCTTGAATAGTGTTCGTTATAGACTGAAACACGTAACTTGCATATCCTCATTTCGAGTGTTAAATAAATGTCAGTCTTTCAAATAGCTTAAATTCTGATGTAAGCAAAGGCAATTTAGGTCGACAAGCGGATACAAGAAATTGCTGAACAGGTTACGACTAAATTAAAGGTCAAGTGGCAGGGCTTACTAAACACTTAACTCATTTCTGACGAAATCTCAGCAGGGATACAAAAGGCTTGCCTGGCATTTACTAACTTACATCATCTCTGTCTGGTGTGGACGTGACATTGGAATTAGGCGTAGAGTGTTTGTTATATAAGGAGGAAAGTCAATTTGCACCGATTGAGATGACTAGACACATGTTGCACTTGCCGACGCACTCTAGCCCTGATCGGAAAATATTAGCTGACATAAGATTAGGTTGGAAAAGAGTTAAGGATGAACAAACCACAATGTGGCATTAGTCTGCGAATTCTTTGACAGTTGATCTGCGTCATGTATGGAGGTGCAGACTCTTCTTGCATAGGATCCTCGGGTTGCTAAGATCCACTGATTAAGGATAACATGATTGATAACATGGCTTAAAATAGTTCTCAGTGGCACAGATGCGTTCATCACTTTTTGGCATCACCATATCCACAAAGCACTCATGTTTCTCCTTGTTAATGATCTTTCTTCCGAACTCTTCCGCTCCATCTACTTCTGCCGAACCTCTTTTTCTGTCTTTTATCTACCTTGATATGCCACATGGAATGTGAAAGTTTGAACTATTGCACTTCTTTGCAAAGGTCTTTGGTGAAATTCACTCAGTCATTTAGCATTAATATTATTCCCTTGAGTTCTGAGTAGAACATTAGGCTTCAATAACACATCTCCACTTTGTTCTGTTTTCTACTATCCTCTTTACTTTGGACCACGGTTGCCAACAATCTCTCATCCCCTTGTCAGACGATCTCCTCCATGTCACCCTAACACTGATGATCCACTGGTCGCTTCCCATTGGGATTCCACTCGAGCAATGTCCTGGCGCGCGATGTCACTCCACAGTCTCCTCAGTAGCCTGTGCCCAATCCATCTCCATTTTATTCTACATATTTGTTGAGCCATCGGCTCTTGCTTGTTGGTTTGTTCCCATAGTATCTAGTTATTTAATCTTTCTCGCCATTTTATTTCCAGTAAGGAACTAGGGAAGGCAACTGTTGATAAAAGTCTGCAGCTTTGGTGTTGAAAATGCGAATCTTATCCCCTGTGTTGGGTTCGGAAGATTTCCAAACAGGTGTCAGGTCGATGAAGGCGTATCGTGCCTTTCTGATTCTGACTTTGACGTCTCCATCCGTTCCGCCAGTAGTTGAAACGATGCTTCCTCGCTAGATAAGTGAAGGAAGTAACCTCTGTTAAATCTCTCCCGTTGATGGTTAGTGTTACTGGTTGTTGTTGTTGTTGTTGTTGATTTTGGTTGGTTGTCTTCATCACCTCCGTCTTCTCTGTGTTCACCTGCCGTCCCGTTTTCGCTGCCCGCCTCTTCAGCCAGAATCTCGGTTTTCACTTGCAAGTCTTCAAGTTTGTGTGACATTAGACAAATATTATCTGCGAAATCCAGATCTTCTACCATCTTCTCATCGTTGGTCCAGCGTATTTCTGTCTCCTCGCTCCCAACAGTCTGAAGCATAATCCAGTCTACCACAATTAAGAATATCATCGTTGATGATAGTAGACAGTCAGCCTTGTTCTACTCCTGTATGCACTTTGAACGCCTAGCTGAGTATCCCGTTGTGGATCACCTGACATGTACCATTGTCGCCTAGCCAGCTGTTGAATGAAGTTTATAAAGACTTGAGCACTGTACGCAGTAGTGTTGAGTTAGTTTCAGTTTCCAAATTACTTCTCGCTCAACGCCGTCTGTGGAAGACCTTCTCAAAGTCGACGGAGTTTAGGCAGAAAGATGTTTGGCTGCTATTCTATACCTTGTTCGATGACGATGCGTAGACTAGCAATTTGATTATTATTATTATTATTGTTTCCTTTAATTCCTACAGGAACATAGAGCTTTATCCGTGCTTGTTCCGGGAGGAGTTCTGTATCCAGTGCATCTTTAATTCTCTCCAGGATGATGCGACTTAGTAATTTACTAGGCGTGGAAAACAGAATTATTCTACGCCAGTTGTTGCAGAGGCCCAGGTAGCCCTTCTATAGTAGCTTGACGAAGTAGCCAGCCTTTCTTCCAATTGGTGTGTACCTTTCCTTCCTTCCAAACCTTCTGTAATAATGGCATGAGCACATCTGCTTCAGTCTCTGGATTCGTTTTCAGTACTTCGAGGAGAATTCCATTTGGTACTGCTACCTTCCCAGCCTTCAGTAGCTTGATCGCATTCAGAACTTCTGCTTTCGTTGGAGGACTGGTGCCCACCAGCCAGTCAGTAAAAGGTAAATATCTTCCCTATTATTATGTCTCCCAGATTATCGCCTTTCATTCAAATTCAAGTCATCATGAAAGACCAGTGAAAATCCATCTTCGGTAAGTATATTCATAAGATTCACACATCAACCAACTAAATGAAGATTGACTTGTCAACTAGTCTTATTACCACACAAAACGTTTGATCAGTTTTTCAAGTGTATTATTATTATTGCTCCCTTGGGTTCCTAGTGGAACATAGGGCTTCAACTGCACGTCTCCATTTTCTTCTGTCTTCTGCTATACTTTTCGCCTGCATCCATGTTAATCCATATTCTTTCAACTCCTCTTCACACGATCTCCTCCATGTCACCCTTGGACGTCCCACACGCCGCTTCCCTTTCGGGTTCCACTCGAGGGCTTGGCGCGCGATGTCACCCAGCGGTCTCCTCAGCGAGTGTCCGATCCATCTCCACTTTCTCCTGCATATTTTTTGGGCGATTGGTTCTTGCTTTGTTTGTTCCCATAATTCCTTGTTGGTGATTCTTTCCGGCCATCTGATCTTCAGTATTGAGCGAAGACAGTTGTTAATAAAGGTCTGCAACCTTTTGGAAATATTCTTTGTGACCCGCCAAGTTTCTGATCCGTATAGAAGAACTGACTTTACGTTTGTATTGAAAATCCGAATTTTGTTGGTGATGCTGAGTGACGAAGATTTCCAGATTGATTTCAGGCTGATGAATGTGTTTCTCGCCTTCCCGATTCTCGCTCGATTTGACATCCTCGTCCGTTCCGCTGCCTGTAGTTGAGACAATGCTCCCTAGATAAGTGAATGAAGTAGCCTCTTTCAAATCCCTCCCGTTGATGGTGATTGACGTTGGATGTTGTTGCTGTTGTTGGTTGGTTATTTTCATAACCTCCGTCTTGTCTATGTTCACCTGGAGTACTGTCTGCGCTGGCTGCTTCTTCGACCAGTTTGTCGGTTTTCGCTTGTAAGTCTTCGATTGTGTGTGACATCAAACATAAGTCATCCGCGAAATCCAGGTCTTCTAGGTTCTTCACGTCGGTCCAGGATATTCCTGTCTTCTCGTTTCCCACAGTCTGACGCATAATCCAGTCCACCACAATTAGGATTATCATTGGTGATAGTAAGCACCCTTGTCTAACTCCTGTGTTTACTTCAAACGCCTCGCTGAGTTTTCCGTTGTGGATCACTTGACATGTTCCGTTGTCGTACAGCTGTGGAATAAGGTTGATGAATATTTGGGGTACGCCATAGTACTCGAGTAATTTCCAAATTACTTCACGATCAACGCTGTCGAAGGCCTTCTCAAAGTCTATAAAGTTGAGGTAGAGGTTTGATTGCCATTCCATGCTTTGTTCTGTGATGATGAGTACAGTTGCAATTTGGTCAGTACATGATTTGCCTTTCCTGAATCCAGCTTGTTCTGGTCGGAGTTCTGTCTCCAGTGCGTCCTTTAATCTCTCCAGGATGATGCGACTCAGGATTTTACTTGGCGTCGATAGGAGCATGATTCCTCGCCAGTTCTTGCAGAGTCCCAAGTCGCCTTTCTTTGGTATTTTCTTGAGGTAACCTTTCCTCCAGTCAGTAGGCACCTTTCCCTCCTTCCAGACCTTTTGCAATAATGGAGTCAGCATGTCTGCTGTCGTCTCTGGGTCTGCTTTCAGTGCTTCAGGGGGTATTCCATCTGGTCCGGCTGTTTTTCCAGCTTTCAGAAGTTTGATTGCATTCAAGACTTCAGCTCTCGTTGGAGGATTGGTGTCAACTTGCAGTTGTGTGTGCGCTGTTGTTGGTATTTCTGGACGGGTTGCAGGTGGTGGTCTGTTTAAGAGTCCTTTGAAGTGATCCGCCCATTGTTTAATCTGTTTCTCTTCCTTGGTAATGGGCTTCCCTTGGCTGTCTTTTATAGGTTTCGCTTGTGTTGGTCTCTTCCCGGATAGAGATTTGGTTATCTGATATAGTGTCCTCAGGTCCCTTTTGCCTGCTGCCTTTTCAGCTTCAGTAGCTAGATTGTCGTAGAATCGTCTTTTGTCCTTCCTAGCACTTTTCTTCACTTCTTTGTCCAATGCTTTGTAAGTTGAGCTCATCGTCTCCTTCTCCTGTCCGTCCTTGCATTGAATCATTTTCTCTTTCACCATTCTCCTCTCTTCTATTAATTTCCAAGTGTATTTTCAAGTGTATTCGGTCTTAAATACTCAACTTTAACTCATAGCCACACACAGACACACACAATTGATCCACTTAACTCAAATGAACTAAGATTCAATAAAGTGCCACCGATATTCAATGTGACAAGGCTTATAAAACTTCATAAAATTTTAATATGGAAAGAATTTTAATAAAATCAAATAATTTATTGTACCGTCTAAGTGGCGGCTTTGCATTATCTCTCATTTGCAGCAGGACTTCATCATTTCCCAGCCTAAAAATTAATCGAAATATATGTTTTATGCAAAAACAATAATAATAATAACGATAATAACACTTTTATTTCGTTAAATGTGCTCTTACTTAGTACAGAATGCTGAGTGTGTTCTGTTGCAAAGTAATGCTTCTTTTTTTAAAATCATTTGAAGTAATATAATGTTCTATTCAAGTCACTCTCTAATAACCTGCAATCATCTTTCCCTCCACTTCGTTTGAAGGACATCTTTGTAGTAGGTTTAAGTCTATTTACTGTGGTAAACGCTGTCTGATGGCCAAAATAAGTAGACACCAATTTACGTGAATGTTTACATCCCAAATCTTGGTCATGAGAAAGAAACAAAAACAATGACTAACTCAACAGCCAATCACAGCAGACTTTGCGTGGGTGGATACGATTCGCACATATATGGTCTGACCTTCAAAGAAATAGCCACAGAGAGATGACAGAATAACCTTCAGCAGGCATTCTGGCACTTTTGGTGTCTTCAAAAAGAATGGATATCCTCACAATTTCATCATATATTTGAGTCACAACACCGACAAGAAACCATCATTAAAGACTACAAGAAAATTCATTCTACTATATATAAAAATATCTCTGAAATAACAGCTAGAATACCGAAACCATTTGAAATAGATATAGCACACAAGCCAGCCAGCCAGTCAAATCACTTAATTTGATATTGTGCAAACCGAAAGGCTCATCCAACAGAAAAAGGAGATAAAATTAATACCATTTACGAAATAAGTTGTATGAACTGTAACAGACATTACATCAGTCAAAGTGGGTGTCCTCTTTGAATCTTAATCCAAGAACACAAATTAGCTGTGAAAAGACATGATATATATATACATATATATTCTTTCATATCAGTGCATGTAGATAATTATGGACATCAGTTTGATTGGGATAATGTAGAAATTCTAAGCAGAGGAAACACCAAAAGTGCCACATTATTCCTAGAAGCCTGGCACTCAGACGAATATGCGATTAGTAAACATGTTAATGCAGACCAAATCTACCGACTAATAAAAAGAAAAAAATCATCATGTGACGAGAAAGTTCAAAATCCAAGTCAATAAAAAAAATGATCACTACAGATGTAAATCAACTACCGGTCACGAAGATGTTTGCTGTCAGGAGGCTCAATTCTATCATTCATGAAGAATTTAAATCAATTCATTTTATGCTAAAACTTGCGCTGAAGGCAGATGTTGTCCAGTAGGGGGACAACGAAAGCTCCTCAATTTAACCAACCACCTTAGAAAACACAACTAACTGAAAATCACACCAGTGTCTACAGAACTTGAAAGCTCAATCTTAAAGTCCTATGTTCCACTTGGAATCTTAAAGGAATAAAAGGAATGAAGAAGTGATCCAATATTCCGTAACAATTTTAGAGCACAGGTTGTTATCATCATACGGAGTAACATCAGTGTTCAGAAAAGAAATTAACAGTTTGAATTATGATTTAATGAAAGAAAGAAACGACGACTTACTCCAGCGGTGATTCATTTCTGAAAACAGAAGGAAAATATGACAATTTCTGAATGTTATCTGGATATATTTAGACATCACTTGGGAGCGTCACATTCTGGGGATGTAGACTAATTCAGCTGGCCAGTCCAAAAGAAGACGAAGTGTGCATCCTGGATTCCCCAATGCTCACCATCAACCAAAACGAATTAACTTGGATTTTCCTGAGCTTTCCATATCACTTGACATAATTCAAATACCAAAATAACAAACCAATTTAGAATTATACTGTCAACAATGTAATTTATGATATTAGATGGTTGGAGGCAATCGGTCACAGGAAGCCTCATCTGACCTGGGTTTCGTGCTCTCACCAGTCGACAAGGCGTGTCTGCAAACTTGAAGGTACTCATGTCGCCTTTCTGAGACGTTTCCACTGAGGAGTTATTCGGG